AGTCCTGCAGAAACTATGAGGAGTACAGGAAAGCAACTTGTGCCTTTAATTTTGAAAGCATGAAAGGTCGACAGATAAGAGTTCCTTTCAACAACAACATAATATTGTTTCGCGAACAAGTCTCAAAGAAATAGTCTGAAACTAACCTTTGTCAATTTCCCCTTTAATTTCCTAGTATGTAAGTCAGTGGATTGACTAGTGAATTTTTTGTTGTTTATATAGTTTAGGGTCGTGTTGCTTACAAAAAAGATGGTTTCTTTTATTTGAACAATAATGCAAAATGGATGATTACACAAACGCCTACGATATAATACAGGCTATAAAAGAAAGTCGAAAATCGATCGAGCGCTAATATTTCACAAATGGGCAAATTTATCCTCCTGCTCGCAGTGAGTTTCCAGATTTTGAACATGTTCTAAGGCTAAATGTTTGCTTACAGGTACTCAGCCTAGTAACACTGGGAGAAGCTCTTGACTGTAAGGAAGAGCTAGGAGAAGATTCACTTGCAGATAATTATCGTGAGATACTAACCAACGGAATTAAGAAGATTTGTGACTGGCTGGTAAGATAATATTTGTTTATTACGAACGCTTGAGAGAGATTCAACCAGGTTTATTTTGTAGACTTATGAATGTAGATTGGAAGAATTTGCTCTTATGACTCTCCGTAATGAAACAGTTAAAGCCAGAGTACGCACGAGCACTTTCATGCGGTAATTTTGGTAATTTATATTTCAATCTTCAATTTCTCAAATTATACCTGTGACTGTTCCAGAAAGAAGGAAAAGGTCAAGTCCGTAGAAGGCTTCCTAAAGGCAGCAACCAAGAAGTGGAGTTTGGAAGATGTAAACACAAAAAACTTCTTTTCTTTTCCATTCAAAGATTTTTTATCGGCCAACGTTTAAGGTGACCTATCTGGGATGCCACTTCTTAGAGGATGCAGAAAAATACAAAACTGTTTGTTGTTGGCAATAAAATTGATTTTCACCAAGAAGAAAAATCTTGAATAAACGTCTGTATGCATTACTGCGAGTTGGTTTGGAGAATAAAATTAGCAAATATTTCTATTTCATTATTAAAGAAGCACTGCCTATTCGACACTGATTATAAATGCAATTCGGAGACGATCGAGTGTGCGCAAACTCACTTTTACAAACAAAAAATGTGATCTTATGAAGTCGCGTTAGTCAACATGGCAAATCATAAATTATTCAAAAATGAGCAGTCAAAGAGAAACATTTTCTTAACTTTGTGTTGGGACTAGGCAGTAACATACGATAGAAACTCATCATCAAGAGTCTCTTGAAAATTCGTCTATGAAAGTTATTTACTGTTTGATCGAAAAAAAATTTTTCCACCTACCACTGTAACCTCACACTCTAATGACACAGTGTTATATAACAGGTGTAGATGCATGTAGGTCAGCACCGCAATGTACAAACAAGCATTGCTATTTTCCTAAGGAAGCAGTGCCTTCGACATTGACTATAAATGCGTTTTCAGACAATTGTGCCCAAGTCGCACAAAAAACGTGATTCATGGAAAGACTGACGTATTAGCCAACCATCTCACATATATCATAATTTTTGCATAAAGCGTGTCAGGGGAACGAAACATTAATCTCAACTTTTTGTTGTGTAGTTTACTAGTGTGCATGAAGCGCGCTATCATAGTCACAGGGGAGACGTATACAGTGGAACTCAACATCAAGAAATTCGAGGGTTGACTGAAAGGAATTTATCTTTCGGTTCAGTAATCCTTTATTACAGTGATAGGGTAGTAGGCAGTATGTGATTACCGCAGGTGATGATTTACCATATGCTCTCCGTGTCTTTACGGTAAGTTCATCCGTGGCGAATCGATGTAATCCCGCAGTCATAATAACTGATACTTTATTCGGTAGAGTTAACTTCTAAGGTTAAACAAAGCAGGATCCGCTATCATGAGCCATCACTAAATGTCTACGTGTCATCACGCAAGACGCAGGACATTATCAGTAAATTTACAATTCATTAAGCAACTATCGTAGGCAAACTTTTGAGTGGATTCCTGGCTATAAAGCAGAACCGCATAACAACCAGTCATTTTTCAATTAACCCAAGGAGGCAAAGTTTCATAACATGGTAACTGCAACCGGATAAAGTTCCGCTCTGCATGACATAATTAGCGAGTATGTGATGCCGCTGGAACCTTTAATGCCTGAAGTGATGCTGACCTGATCAAGACATTCTTTTTGAACTGGTGAAAGTATAACAAACAATTACTTTTTTCAAATGAATTATTGGTAAGTGCGCGTCACCTTTTCAAACGCTCAACAAAAACTTGCTATGAATCTTGTCTTGTGGGCTAAACTTCACCACGAGTGCGCCCTAAATCTACTTACAGAAATTTCCAATAGTTGCACTAGAATTTAGTAGAAATTGCGTTAAATGCATACATCAAGTGGAGCAGATTTGAATGGCAAATCGTAATTCCTGAAATTTTAAAATTCAATCATTTAAAATTCTAGGGCAGCTTGGGCCGCCTTCGGGCCCCTAAAGGAAGCCAAGACCAGCTGACGGACCCAGAGCTTCGAGCCCATCTGTTCGATTCAACTGTTCTCCCTGCGCTCTGCTGCGCAGCAGAGACCTGGCCTGACATTGTGGCTACTAGGCTCTTCGAACAACCCACAGAGCGCTAGAACGACGTCTTCTAGAATACAACCGACGTACTCAACATCTCGTCGGACTTCGCAGTTCAAATATGAGATCAATGTTTCGCCTTTGCGATCCAGCGGAATAATATCTAAGGCGAAGCATCGATGGACTGGTCATATAATGAGAAGGACAGACGACAAATGGAGATGGGCTGACGTGTTCATTGTACGGATGGACTAGCTGAATTCTCAGCTAGGAACATATAATGGACCTGGACATCGCGAACGTCGCCGCCGCCCTTCAATACCAACATCGAGGATGACGCTAGCGAGAGACAGAAACTGATGGAAACAGTGTTGTGGCCTGCACGACAAGTGAAGACAGGCCATTTAAGTATTTATATAAGTAGGTAATATTTTAAAATTTAGTTTTT